TCAGCCCCCAACCTAGCTTTTTCAAAAGAGGCTTTATTCTCTTATAAAATGGATAGTGCTAAAAGTATAGATGAAAACCTAGACGAGTTTTTGAAAATGACCTTGGTCTTAAAAGAGACAGATCAAGCTTTAGGAGAAACCAGCCTGCCATGATTCTATTGAATTCCTTGACTGATGACAACTAGGTAGTCAAGAATGCCCTACAGTACTTGGTAGGGGTGTTCGGTTCCGGGTACCCTATATATTTTGAAGGAACCGGAACCGATGGTTTCTTAAAATTTGGAACCAGAACCGGAACCGATGGTTCCGGTTCCTAGATACCCAAAACCAGAACCTGTAACAACGGTTCCGGTTCCGGTTCTGGGTACCCTATAAACTTATATGATCACCCAAAAGTTTTAAAAATGGCAAAAAAACCCTTAAAAACTTACAAATACCCCCCCACCTGACACTTGTTAACAAAAATAAAATTACAAATTATAAATTCAAAATTACAAACTCCATTACTTTAAAGGTAGATTCTCAAAACTCAAACCAACTTACTTTAAATGTTATGAAATATAAATTTAAATGTATTCACATTAATTTTTTTATAAAAGTTTTTATTAACCCCCCTAATCTTTAATTTTATTTTATATTAGCTTCGGTTCCTGGTTCTGGTTCTGGTTACTAACTACAGGAACCGGAACCGGAACTGCACAGTAACGGTTCCAAAAATTTGGAACCGGAACCTACCCGTTGACGATTGGTTCTGGGTAGGAACCGGAACCAAACCCAAGGTACCCGTCGGTTCCGGTTCCAACCGGTTCTTTTGAACACCCCTAGTACTCAGGTACTATACCAAATCTTGACCTAATAACAACAGGACTTAGGGCTAGAGAATTAGAATTGAAAACCCAGAAACGGAATGGCACAAATCTGTTTGTTAAGAGTAGACCAGAACCTAGTCAAACTGGCAAGGGAAAACAGAATAATCAGGGGGCTAGAATAAGAAAAAATGGAAGGGCAGTAACAAGCATAGAGGAGAGTCCAGAAAATGTTTCTTTTGTAATAAAACTGGGCATATTAAAAAGAATTGTTTTGAGTGGATTAAAAAGCAAAAACAAGGGAATACTGAGAATAACCTAGCCACTACTAGAAACCTGGTAGAGGAACCTAAAGTACTTAGTGTGTCAATGAATGACACTGGTGAAGAGTGGGTGCTGGACTTAGGCTGTTCCTTTCACATGAGTCCTAGGAGAGACTGGTTCCAGGAATTTGAAAATGTTGAAAATGAAACTGTTTACATGGGAAACAATAATGCATGCAGAGTAAGAGGGATAGGCACAGTGACTCTAAGGGTTAACATTGGAAAAGTGGTAAAACTAACTAGGGTTAGATACATACCAGAACTTAAAAGAAATTTGATATCCCTTGGCACCTTAGATGAATCAGGATGTTGTTATAAAGCAGAACATGGATGCTTGAACATATATAGAGATAACAACTTGATACTGAAAGGAGAGAAAAGAAATGGCCTTTATATTCTTTGTGGGAATCATTCCCAAAACTGCTTTAATTCTGTGATTACTTCTACTAACTTGTCTAATACAGAAAAGTGGCACCTTAGATTATGCCACATGAGTCAAAGAGGCATGGACATTCTGAAGAATAAAGGGCACTTTGGCAAAGACAAGACCATATCCCTTGAATTCTGTGAGAATTGTGTTTTAGGGAAACAGCATAGAAATAGTTTCACCAAAAGGATACACCTAGCTACTAGACCACTAGAATACATACACTCTAACCTTTGGGGACCTGGAAAAATGAAATCTTATAGAGGGAATAGCTACTTTAGGTCTCTGGTGGATGACTACAGCCGCGAGGTGTAGGTGTACTTATGAAATCCAAAGATCAGGCTCTAGCTAGGTTTAAGGACTGGAAAACCTTAGTAGAGAACCAAATGGGAAAAAGGGTGAAGGTTCTTAGAACAGACAATGGGCTGGAATTCTGTAATCAATAATTTGACAAGTTTTGTTGTAAGCAAAGGGTTTTAAGACATAGGACAGTACCCTATACCTTACAACAGAATGGAGTGGCGAACGAATGAATAAAACCCTCCTTGATAAGGTTAGGTGCCTGTTAATAACCTCCAAATTCCCCACCTCTTTTTGGGGAAAAGCTCTTACAACAGTAGCATAACTGGTAAATAGAAGCCCATCGACTACAATAAACTTAAAAAGCACTAAGGAAATGTGGACTGGTAGAGTCCTAGCTTTAAGCCACTTGAGAGTTTTTGGGTGTGTAGCTTAGGCACACACCACGGGAGGAAAATTAGAACCAAGGTCAACCAAGTGCATATTCTTGGGGTATCAAGAAGGGACCAAAGGTTATAGACTCTGGGATAGAGATACTCTAGGGGTTAGAATCATTGTGAGCAGAGATGTGATATTCAATGAGGGAGTATTTCCTTGTAAGGAAACTAGAACCAAAACTGACCCCATTTCAAATACAGATGATCTTTTCACCCAACCTGAAGTTACACCAATTGAGGTGGAGCTTCCTACCCAAACTCAAACCAGCCAAGAAACTGAAGCTGTTACTGAACATGGAGGAGAAACTGGACAAACTGATCCAGAACATGAGGATGAGATAGAAACAGCAGATGACACTAAGATCCAACCTGAACACTTGCAAGACTACCAGCTTGCAAGAGACAGAACCAGAAGACAGGTAAGGGCACCCATGAGATATTCCTATGCTGACCTAATATACACTGCCCTTCTTGCAGGTACTGAAGTACAAAGAAGAGAACCAGAAACTTATAAGGAAGCCATGCAGACAAAAGAAAGGGAGCAATGGAAGGCTGCTATGGAAGCTGAAATGAAGTCCTTGGAGGTGAACAGAACCTGGAAGCTTGTACCAAAGCCCAAGGATCAGAAACTTGTACAATGCAAGTGGCTATTCAAACTAAAGGAAGGTATCACTGATAAGGATCCCCTTAGGTATAAGGCTAGACTTGTAGCCAAGGGTTTCACCCAAAGAGAGGGAATAGACTTCAATGAAGTCTTTTCCCCAGTAGTTAAGTACAAAATCATAAGGCTTATGCTGTCCATAGTAGCTCACCAGGATCTAAAACTTGAACAATTAGATGTCACAACTATATTTCTACATGGAGATCTTGAGGAAGAGATCTACATGAGCCAACCCTTAGGTTTCATAGATAAAAGAGCCCCCAATCATGCCTGCCTACTGCTGAAATCCTTATATGGTCTAAAGCAATCCCCTAGGCAATGGTATAAGAGGTTTGACACCCTTATAGTAGGTATAGGATTCACTAGGAGTAAGTATGACAATTGTTTCTACTTTGTTGTTTTAGATGAAATACCTATTTACTTACTACTGTATGTAGATGATATGTTACTAATAAGAAAATCAAAGCCTCTGATCTGTGAGTTAAAGAATAAACTGAATGTTGAATTTGAAATGAAAGACCTAGGGGATGCTAGGAAGATTTTAGGCATGCAAATTGATAGAAACAGAAGTAAACGCAAACTAAAAATTCACCAGTGTTCATACCTGCATAAGTTTGTAGAGAAATTTGGAATGTCAGGGTCCAAAACTGTCTCAATGCGTTTAGCAAACCACTTCACATTAAGCAAGGCTCAATGCCCTAACACTGATGTTGAGTTAATTAGAATGGAGACCATACCCTATGCTAATGTGATTGGATCCTTGATGTATGCTATGATTAGTACTAAGCCTGACCTATCATTTGTGATATCATTGCTGAGTAGATTCATGTCCAATCCTGGTATGTAATATTGGACAACCTTGAAGTGGGTACTAAAATATGTTAGTGGATCTTTAAATGTGGGACTAGAATACTGTAAAAGATCTGCCTCACTTGAGCTGGATGGTTTTGTCGACTCTGATTTTACAAGTGACAGTGACACTAGGAAGTCAACCACTGCATATTACTTTACCTTGGGGGGGCAACTGCATCAGTTGGAAGTCCCAATTACAGCCTATAGTTGCACTATCAACAACCGAGGCTGAATATGTGGCTGTAGCTGATGTATTTAAATAGGCAATGTGGCTCAAAGGGATCCTGAGTGAAGCAAACTTGTCTGAACTGAAGCCAACCATTTTTTCATACAGTCAAAGTGCAATACATCTGAGTAAGAATCCAGTGTACCATGAGCGAACCAAACACATAGATGTTCGCTATCACTTTGTGAGAGATCTGATCACTAGGGAGGAGATAGCACTCAATAAGGTTCCTACTAAGCACAATCCAGTAGACATGGGTACGAAGATTGTTACAATTGCTAAGTTCAAGCATTGCTTGAACCTACTATCCATTCAGTAAGCAAGAGTAGCAAGAGAACTATGAAGGACTCACTAAAGGCAAGCTGCATTAGCACAGGAGCTGTTTTTCAACCCATCAAGGTGGAGATTGTTGGATGATGGCTTGAAACGCTGTCGTATTAGCACTTAAATGGAACGACATCGTTTTGATCCAAACTGAAGAAACAATCCTGAGCGTTGATGAAAAGAAGATCTAACGGCTGGAATTTAACCCTAATGTTAACCATATAAAAGCAGAGTTATTTGGCAGTTTACATATTCATTCATTTTGGCAAATCTCTCTCTTCTTCCTTAAACACCATTTTGAGTCTTTAGGGTTTTTCAATTTGGGTTGAGTGAATCTTGTAACTTGTTGATTGAGTGACTAGGTCAGGTCATTCTGAGTGTATTGTATACGTTGTTTATAGGGATTCGAAAGGTGTAATATCTAGGATGAGTTACGGGTTGAAGAAGGGGTTTTTGAGGGATTTGTATTGCTGTGTGTAATCTGTAATCTTGACAGTGGTTTAGTGCAGCGAGCTCGTGTGATTTTCGAGTTCAACGTGGACGTAGCTTGCTCAAATATAGAGCAAGTGAACCACGATAAATCTGGTTGTTCTTGTGTGTGTTTTATTGTGATTCTTGTTCTTGATCTATTGTTATTTGGTTGATTATTTCTGTGAGTGGTTATAACAATTATTATTACTCGTCAACTCACTTCTCATTGTTTCTTCTTCGATGACTTTCTTCTTCATTCGGCAGACAACCAAATCACTCTTCTTGTTCCTCAATAGGCTGTCATGAAGCAGATATTCCTTCATCACCCATTTTCCCTTTTCTTCAGTCTTCTTGGGGATAAACGTAAGACTCCGTTTGTATCCAATGCGTTGTCTTCTGTCACCACCGTTGTACAAATCTTCATCACCCTGAGTTCTCCATGTTCTGCTTCCTGTAGCACGTTTAACTCTGGAACCTTTCTCCGATTTCTTTCTAAGCTTTGTGAAAAAGTAAAGAGTAGTCTCTATCGTAGCTTTAAAGAAATTCTTCCACGCATCAGTTTCATCGTAGAGATCGCACTCAATCATAGCAGATGATGAAGAGAGTGGGAAGCCATGAGTTTTGTTATAAAGATAATGAAGAATGATTTCTTCATCAGTTGGATAAAAACGATAACACAGTGGAATCTCCATTATTATTAAACTAAAAGATAGAAGGCAGTAAGAGAAAGGGAGAGAGATTTATATATAGAAGCAGTGGCGTGAATAGCAAGTAATCCTACTATATCTTTGTTTCCTTAATATTGATTTAGGTTTTATCGCCTGAGTTTCCTTATTTCTATCAAATTAAACTAGCAAAACAATTTTAATTACCTAGGGCTCTTATTAGATAATTAAATAATAGGGACCTGAGTGTATCCTCTTAAGTTGAATTTTAACTGACCTTTCTGCCTTATGTTTTTCGGGTTCTGGGAGGCAGAATACAAGCACATCAATGTTATTCATTTGATTCCTATAAGTAGACATCCAATGTAGTGTTAATTATTATACTAGAAAATTCGTTATTTTTCTGTTTCCTTATGTTTTGGTTTTATTTTGTTAACTAATTGATTACTTCAAGTCATTGATATATAGATTTAATTTGACAAACAAACAAGTTTAATTTTCATTAGAAATTATGAAATAAAACAATCTCATTAATCATAAACTGAGCATTGTTGGGTTACTGCTTCAATGGCGCATAAAAATGGTGATTCCATTGCATTGCTACATTACTAACGGCATCATGCTGATAAGTCAATGATGTTTTGGAGTCTTCCATAATGTTTTGATCACACCTCCCATTCACTCAGTCGTCCATCGTAAACACTAAGAATCGAATTATAAGAAACCCTAATCTTTCCATGCAATCATCAGCATTCATCAGTGCATTGATCCATCGTAAATAGCTGGTCATCTGCCATGAGTACCGCCTCCAGTTCTTCATCAAAAGTGGAGTTTGATTGATCAGATGGCACCACTGAAGTATTATTATTAGCCAAGAAGTTTCTGCCATTGATATTCTTCATTAGCTCTTCCCCCTTCACCTTCTCCTTGATTTGGCAGAGCACGTAGTGATCGAAAGGATTAGTATTAGCAGGAACTAAACTTTCATGGAGACGATACTCGTGCATCACCCATTTACCCTTTTCTTCATTCTTCTTCTTTTTCGGCACAAACGTGAAGCTCTTCTTGTAGCCTACTTGCTGTTTCTTCTCACCGCCATCAACACTCATATACACATCCTTATCATGTTACGATCTCCATGTTCCGGATTCCGTAACCCTCCCAATCTTCGAACGTCCAATCTTCTTAAGCTTCGTAAGAACATAAAGCCTGTCCTCTCTTCTCTCTTCCAAAAGCTTCTTCCAAACGTGAGTTTCATGGTAAACATCACAGTGAATCACAGCGTTGGAAGGAAGCTGAAGACCATGGACTTTGTTATAGAGATAAAAAATTATCTCCTCGTCGGTGGGATCGAACCTAAAACAAAATGGCAAGCAATCCATTGGTTTCCGTATTACTGAATAATAAGAGAAGAGTAACAATTTATAGAGTTGGTTTCCTTATTAAAATTAAAATCTATTTCGTTTCCTAATTAGAAAGGTGTTAGATACATAAATCTGCATCAACAAGAGAAATTCGATTGATCCTGTCGGAATCAAAATGGATATGAGTGTGATTAAACCAAAATTGATGTGAGTGTGATTAAAGATAATCAGTGATGAAGGTATCAAGATGCAATAAAGTAAAATATAATGAGAGTTTTTAAAGTGGTTCGGTGAGGTAAACTCTAAAGCTTACGACTACTATTTTGTATTTGCGGTAAGAGCTTACAATGTAAATCCTACAAAGATTTTGTAACCCCTTTTCATAATTTGAGGAGGTTTATATACAAGATTTGTAGGAAGGAAATAGTGAAAACAAATGGATTACAATTGATCTAAAATGTAATTCTGATATTCTCGCGATTGGGTGCTGGGATTACGTAGAAATTGTTGTTAATCTAATCTTTTCCGCAATATCTGGGATCTGAGATACTCTGAGAATTGATTGAATGATTACTCGGATTATTCGCAACTAGCTTATGTTGGGTTGAGCTACAGCTTGACGAGCTTATGCTAGGTCGACCAAACATCGTTGCTGAACTGGTTCTGAGTCGAGCTATATCCTCACAATAGCTCAAGCTTGGGGAAAAAATCACACACAACAAAAAGATAATCTTTATTTAAGATATTTATTTTCTAATTAAAATTTAAAATAAGGTAATATTTTTATTTTAAAAAATCGTAATTAAAATATGTGTTTAATGAAAATAATTAAAAATAGTTCTTCAAGTAGGCAGAATAAAATCACATCAATGTTATTCGCCTTCAATTTCCCATTCGTTGGATGATGTGTTCATCAACTCATGATTTTGGAATTAAACAAACTAAATATATAGACCTGCAGTGTATAGGATTTAATTAATTCCTAGTGTTACAAATCCCACGTAAAAAATTATTAGGGAGCTCGAGTTTATAAAGGGAAAATCCCTCCGTCTAATAGCATTTTAGGTATAAAACTCGTAACTTGTAATAAATGGTATCATGGTAAATCTGATCTAAAATGTCAAACGCATATGAATCCCATATCAGAAGTGAATCTCCAAGCATGTTATTATAAATTCTTTTATTCACTTTCTAATTCTATGCTTATTTTCATAATTAAAAATTTATCATAAACTTTCTTCAAATCTCTTCCAACTTATTATAAACTCTTTCAATAATTAAAAAAAAAAAAAAAAAGACAAAAGTATTTAATTAAACTTATGACAATTTACATCTATGTAAATTTACGGGGTTTTAAATATTTACCAAAATTCATCTAAACTTCTCTAAAATTTGTTACTTTTATTTGGGAAGATTTTCTATTTAATTTATCTTTTTTTCTTCAGTTTATTGTTAATAAGAGTAATGTAGCATATTATATTAAAATTTTCATCTTAAATAATATATTATGGTAAAAAAACTCGTCACTTATTATCCCAAATTATTAATTTAATAGTTAAAAAGCCCGCGTCGTGCGGGTTGCTTATGAAATTGGTTTTGACACCATATTTGTTTAAATAATTGGATGTTTCAATTGGTTGATGTCTACTATATAGGTATATACATTGTATAGGTCGGAAATGATCTATTGAATCTCCTAATTATGTTAGTTATAAATTACAGAATATACTAACATAATTTTAAAATTATACAATATAAATACTATCCTAAGACTGAGTAAAATAATAAATTAGAAATAATTTGTGATAGTATTTAATTTAATGTTCAATTAATAATTAAAGTAATAAATAATAAAGAAATTAATAATAGTATTTTCATATAAATATTACATATGAATGTATACTTATTTAATCAATTTAAGTGTTATTAAATTGTAATGTTTTGTGAACGGGACAATTAATGTTGAACCAACAGTCCTACTGTTTTGCTTGAAAATTGGGTTACTATTTATTTAGGGTTAATATTAAACTGTAATGTTTTGTAAACTGGACAATTAATGTTGAACCAAAGGTCCAGCCGCTTTGCTTGAAAATTGGGTTACTATGTATTTAGGGTTTTCTTCATTTCCCTTTTAGCTGACATATATTTGTGCACGTTTGTTTATAGAATTGCATTTCAAGTATTGTTATTTGTCGATAATATAATGTTGTTTATGAAGTATTATGCATACCAATTTACTCGCTCTAGGACAATTCAATTTTATTTATGTAAGCACAACATACAAACTGAAGAAACAAATTCAAATATTCAATACATCATTGACAATTCGCACATTATCTATCGGAACTGGATGTATTTTTGCCCAAAGTGTGATATTTCTCTTTTCTTTTTCTTTTCAACTTTTTATTAACCCTGAACATTCTTGAGGGTTTGGTTGGATCTAGAATCCAGGGTAAACCTACAAAAACATTCAAATGCTCTCTTACTGATGTTTGACGTCAAAGCTTCATTCAGATAGGGCCATGGTTGAGAGTTGTCTGCCTGTACAGTCTTTCCATGAATCACCAAAATTTTTCTGATACTCATCTACCACTTGTCAGAAGAAGCATAAAACCTTCTAAACAACTATTTAGTTGATGATTTCTTTGTCACTGTACACACCGATCCCAAAGCAACTTTGAGATCTATCTCAAAAATTGACATCAAATGAGATCCATTAATCACCGGTCACATCAATTAAATATACACAATAATCCAATAAAGAAATTGAATAGAGTGAGAGAATACCTAAGAGGTGGATAAATATGTTATATTTAATAAATTTCATGCTTCAGTTCTCTTTATTGTACAAATTACATCCAGCTACAATTAACCAGAAAATCATGTCATAATCAAAATACCAGTTAAACCAAAAAAAAATGAAAATGATTTGATAATTGGGTGGTCCACAGGAATATTGGCAACCCATTTTCTAAGGTTTTATGTTTATGCTGAAAAGGACTCTTGATTACAGGCCCGGCTTAACCCCTAGGCAGATAAGGCACCTGCCTAGGACCCCAAAAAAGGGTGTTAAAAGGGAGTCCCAAAATTATATTTTAAAGTACTTTTTAATATATTTATAATTTTTTCAATTTTCATCAATCCCACCATTTACTTGCCTATGCCTACCTCTACCCAAAATGATTTTTGTAAGAGTTTTTTAATATAATTATAATTTCTCAAGTCCCATCTATTCCCCCATCCATCCAATCAGCCATGCGTATCTCTTAAACTTAAAACACAAATGGTGGCTCACTTTTCCATTGTAAATTGAAACACTTTCACGCAACTCTCCAACTCTCAAATATCAAATCACATCTCCTCTCTCCCCCAAATTGGAATAACCATCTCTTATATAAACCTCATTTCATTCAAGGTTTTCTCATCTTTTACTCTTATTATTCTACCTCAGTTTACTCTCGTCTCTCCTTTCTCATCTATTTTACTCTCTTGTCTCTCCTTTCTCATCTATTGTCTCTCCTTTCTCATCTTTAGTACGTGAATTTATAAAGTGAATGTGATTTATATTATTATTGTTATGCAAGGTAATATTTAGAGTTTTAAATCATTTTATTCTTAGCATTGTTAACTGATTTTACTTTATATTTGATCAAGTGATTTACA